CCCCATCTCCCATCGCGACAGATACGCCCGCTGCGGACTCAGCACCAACTGCGCTCCCGGCGGGCATCGCCGACAGAGAGAAACCCGATGGCTGAACAGCGACATGGGGGATCTGCTCGGTCGTCTGGGTGGTGCTCAGCTGCGCTGAGAAGAAGCGAGGCGCCTGAGAAGCCCCGCCCACCGCCGCTGCCGATGAGGAGGCCGCAGACTCGGTGGTGTCCGTGCCGCCAATGGGTGAGTGATCGGCCAAGGTCCTCAGGGGTGGAAGCGCGGCAACGCGGCTTGCCTGACGTCGCTGCTTGGCAGGGGGCTCCGCACGCTCCTCTGTTCCGCACGCTCCTCTGTTCCGCGACGGTCGAAGGGGTTGGACAGAGGTGGGACGAAGCCGTGAGCAGCTACAGGAGCAGCGATGGGCACTCCTGGCGCGTCGCGGGCGCAGTACACGGGAAAGGTACCATTCTCACCGCCTGGAGCTGAGCACGGCGCCGTGTGACGCGGCAGGAACGGAGGGAACGCAGGCTGCTGGTGTGCTGACGGGGGCAGAGGGGGATGGAGAGGGTGCTGTGGGTAGCCAGTGTTGTTGGCTGTGCTGTTGTGGTAGCATGGCTCGTGTTGTTGCTGCTCCTCTTCTGCTGGTGGTTCTCCGCCCTCTCCGACCTCCTGAAGCTCCCACCGCAGCCACTCCAGCTCTCGCTGCTCGTCCTCATCCATGGCAACACCTGATGAACACAAGGCGCCCATCCAGCGGAGAGAATTCCACCTTCCTCCGCCTCCCCTCTCTTTACCTCTCACGCACTCTGTTGCTCTCGTCAGTCGGCTACTGTGGTCGAACGGTGCAGAGGAACGCACGCACTGCGCACCGTTGCATCAGGATGCTTTCTCTGAGCTATTTCTTCACGCACGTTTGACTTTCCCCCCAAACGCCCGCGCACTTCGTCTGTTTCCCCCCTTTTGCGGGCACAACTCTACTTCCTCCTGAGGCGCAGACAAACGGACCGGTGCCGTTCGAAATGCAAAACCTCCCAATTGCTCCCGAAGCGGGGGGTCAACTTGAGGCTCGCCAGTTCTTTCTTTCTTTTTTTTTGTGAACGCTATCAACTGGTGACGGTGATCAGATCTGCAACTCGCTACTGAGAACACTCACCCTCACTTCAACAGTAGAAGCGGTTTCGGGGGTCCCTCAGGTCAGGTAGAAATCCTCGTGCATGGTTTTCTCCATGCTCTTAGCATGTGTCTCGTCGTCAACACAATAAGCAACCAGCCAGCGACATGGACACGCGACACGCACACGCAGTACGCAGCATGCAAAGCCGAGAGGTAGATAGGGATAACAAACTCGGATCAAAAACTGAGAGGGTGGCGGAGTACCTTGGACATACAAAGGACAGCAAGGGTGGTGTCTCGCCCCTCTCCTATCGCTTCACCTTTGCTCATCCTTGTCTCGCTGCATGAGCATGTGCTTGAGGTCAAGCAGCAATGTGCGGTCCTTGGCCTGGAAGTACAAATCCTTCTTGTTGCTGGCATCGTCACGCGGCGACTGCGCTCCATTTCAGGTACAGCTTTTCCAATCCGCGCTTGACGGATCTCTGCTTATAGTCCACCGCTAGCTCGTTGGACGGAGCAGAAGACGGCATGGCGCTGCGCAATGCGGCCGACAGGAAGCACAGCAAATACGGCACAGAGGCCAGGGCAAGCAACTTCACCATCGTCCCACTGTCGGCGGAGAGCTACGGGCGGTGGGGGGACGAGGCGGCTGCCCTTGTCAACCGCATGGCCCGGCACGTGCGGCCACCTGTCTATATGAAGGGCGACGGCCACCTGCATGTCTATATGAAGGGCGACGCGGAGTTATTCCGTGAGACAGCGGCGGACAGGTGGCGGGCTCGACGCAGCGTGCTGCTGCAGAAGGGCAACGCACACATGGTGCGGAGCAGGGCGTGGCGGGCAAGCAGGTGGAATGGGCAGGAAAGGGAGGGTTTTGCTGAGGGGCTGTTGCTAGAGCGGGGGCCTTTCCACCCTCGTTGATTGCAGGGGGTGGGGGGTGGGGGGTGCAGTGAGATGTCAGTGTGGTTGAGTGTTGGTGCCGTCCGTCCATCCATTCATCCATTCATTCATTCGTTCATTCATTGATGGGTTCTGCGTGTGTGTGTGAGTGTGTTGGACCGTTGGAGCCAATGCATGACATTCATTCACTGACAGTCAATGATTCATGGAGAGAGTTCGTATGTCCGTGGAAAGCCTTCAGCAGTGCAGAAGGCCAGCTTTCCGCCCTCTGAGCACACAGGCCAGCTTTCCGGCTGGACATCCAGCTTTCCGGCTGGAAAGCTGGCAGGGAGGCCCGGAAAGCCAGCTTTCCGGCCCGGACATCCAGCTTTCCGGCTGGCTGGCTGGCTTTCCGCGGGCTCAGCTAGCCTCCCGCGGGTTTAGCTAGCTTTCCCCGCCTCCTCTCAGCTTTCCGGCCGGAAATCCAGCTTTTCGCCGCACCTTGTCGGGTAGGGCCCTCGAGGGGCTCGCTGATTGCAGTGGGTGGGTGGATGTGCATGGGCAGGTAGGGAGGGGCCTGTAATTTTGTGGACAATCTTACCCTAACCATCACAACGGCGCATGCCCCTGTAAATTTGCTGGCCACCGCGTCTTCCATCGCATAATGATGCGCGTATTCTTCCCTTCTTTTCTTCTCTTCTTTCTCTTTGCTCCCCTGTCATCATGGAGCTTCGCAATCCGCAAGACCCGGCCAACCCTCACTGCTTCATCCGCAAGGAGCTCCCAGAATGCACCTTCAGCTGTCCGGTGGCTGAACGCTACTGGCTTCCCAAAACACATTCCACCTGTTGCTTGGTGTAGCGACGCCAAAATGACTGCGGGTGAACCACAATCGCGGGATTAGGTGACAGAGGGATCATGCTGACCTGTGTGTCCTGTGCAGCGATTCCCGTACACGACGATCCCGTGCTGCAAGGGCACCCGAGGGGAGGGTTCCGCAACAGCACTGCTAACGCAGAATGTCGGGCGATATACGTGGAGGGTTTCTTCGGTAAGGCGTCGGCGCTGATCGCATCGACAGAGTATGGCCAGTGCGCGACGATGACAAGCGAGACGGAAAAGTACGTGTACCACACCAACTACATGCGCGTCCACGGTGCCATGAACAACGCCATCGTCACTTGTGCATGTGACAAAGCAAGCGGGGAGTGCATGGCTACAGCGCAGTGGGAGCACAAGACGCAGGCAATCAGGGCTTTCGACGGCAAGAAACCGCTGGGTAAGGATGTCAGGCCAGTCACCCAGGGCCGCGTGCTAAGCAGTGGTCTCATCGCGGGACCGGACCTGAATGTCTCTATTACGAACGACGACGAGTAAGCAAGGGCTTAGCAATCATTTCTTTTCATTCCATTCCATTCCCCATTCTTCCTGCGCTGCAGCGTCATGGTGTTCGAGAGCACGGTCGTCGGCAGCGCCCGCTACCCTTGGCCCATGCTGTGTGACGCTGTCTGCCCACAGGGTTACAACAGCAACCCATCGTGCGTCCACCACCTGATTGTCAACGGCTGCCCCACAGACGATGTACTTGACTTCCGGGTCCGCTCTCTGACGCCTGGCCGCATCGTCTTTTCGGTGAAGCCCATGAAGTTCGAGGACCACGACAGCATGAAAATCCAGTGCATGATGGCTACATTCCCCAACACCACCAATACGGACGAGCAGTGCGAATGGAGCGGTCACTTCGTCAAGAAAAGGAGGCGGCTGTTTGCTACAGACGCTTGGGACGAGTACCAACGGACTGGGTCTTCTCAGCGTGCGACGGCCAAAGCCAAGGCTGCTGTGGCGGTGCCTGGTGCGGCAGAGATCGAGGGACAGGGGCTCGGCCCTCTGCCCACTGCCCTTGGCGTCACTGCCCAGAACCCGTTCAACTTGAGGGAAGGGACCATCATCACCGAAGTGTCCAATGAAATCGTCTACGACAACTGGGCCGTACAGGTCAGTGGGTGCTCTCGACTTTCCATCATCCATACATCCATCCATCCGCCTCACTCGCATGTGTCCTCTCTGTGTGGATCAACTACTCAGTGGGGCAGAGATATTGAGGCCGGTGGCGACACGGCCGTGCAGGTCGGCAACGACTTTGGCTTCGTGGGTGAGCTTGCTTGCATCTGGTCGTCGGGACAGCACGTTGTCTATCGGTGTCTATTCTTCGTCTCTCATCAGGCGTCGGTATCGGCTTTGCTGACCGAGAGACGTCGGTCAACACGGGTTGGGGCAAGCTCGGTGTGTCAGTGTCGACCGATGAGAGCGACCTCGAGGGCGGTGTGGGTGTCTCGTACGGGGCGTACAGTGTGCGAGTAAGTATATCAACCGGCCAGACATTTGCACACACACGCATGGCAAAGCATGGAGAGAGACATGCAAGTCGCCTCATCTGCCTGCTTTCCTGCCTCCTGCCTGCCTCCCTCCCTCCCTCCCTGTCTGCCTGCCTGCCTGCCTGCCTCTGTGTGATAGGTTGATCAAGATTTGGACGACAGGCAGACCGCCGTCGAGGTGGTTGCCCGTGGTGTCGAGTCAGGTACCAATGTGGATATCCTCGATCGCGACTACGGTCAAAGAGTCAAAGTCAGGAACACTGAGGTCGCCGTCAGGTGAACTACACCACTCCTTATCCCCCTCCCTCTTGTCCCGACCACCAAGCCTACTGCGAGAGAATACCGCACGCACCCCCTGCATGTGTGCATTGCTTTTCCGCTGCGTTCCGTTGTGGCTTACAGGCACGATTTCAACGATCAGCAAGATCCCACAGTTGGTGACGACGAGGAGCTTGCCACGGAGGTGTTTGCGGGCTACAAGTCAGTGGCCGTGGCCGTCGGTACCGATGTCGATGACACCGAATACGCCGTTAGTACGGGCGTGCTGGGCTACCAGTTCTCCGTTCTCAGAGACTTTGACGAGAGGGAAACCGATTTCCAGGGTAAAACACAAACAAGGACATACCTGTCCCGGCCCCCAGGGCCTATTTCACGTCTACGTGTTTGTGTTTGGTGCTGTACTAGGTAACTGGGCCGACGGGTACCAGCTTGTGCTTAATGGTGCGAAAATGGATGGGTATTTCGTGGTATTCTCCATCCGTATGCATGTTTTGTTGCCCTTCAGGCGATTTCCCCGACCCGCGATCGACTGAGGTGTTCATTCAAGTGGGTTTCGGTGTGTTGGGCGTGACGTACGTGCAAGTTGGCGCTGGTGTGGGAGGTGACGGTATCCCACAGGGGTCCGCCGAAGTCGAGACGGAGGACTTTGGTCTCGGAGTTGACTTCATAGATGATGCTGGTGCGTCGCTGATCTGTGCAGAATGTGTGCGATTCCCTGTGTGACCGCCTCTGTCTGTTTGTCTGTCTGTGGCGTCATTCATTCAGGTGATCGGCTGTTCTTGTACTCTATCACTGTCGGCAAGTTCACCTACATCTGGGAGAGCGAAGTGGTACAGGGGGAAACGGACGACGGGGCAATGAAAGCGCAGGGTGTCTGCATGTGTGATCACACGTGTGCATGGCTAAATTGCAGGTGCCGGACAATCTGGACATCCCGCTGATCCTCGGCGCTGGCCCTTAGCACGGCGAGACACGAAGGCGAGGCCCGGAGGGCCGAGCCCACTGTCGCTGCTGTTCACTTTGCGAAGGCGAGGCGAAGGGGAGGTTCGTATTGCTGGCGCAGCGCTCATCAGCCAAGCGCAGAGATGCGATCCCCGGGCTGCGTAACGCTCATGTTTTAAAACCAGGAGGGACGGGGATGCATGTCTCAAGTGTGCTCGCTGTCGGGTGTGTGTGTGCGTGCGTGTGTGTGTCTTTGCTTACCCTAGTGACTGAGTGAGTTGCTTGGTAAGGTACCTCGGTACATGTTGCGAGGCAGGAGAAAGGCATCATAAATGTAAAACTGCGTTTTTCCTGACACTGCACTATCGTGGTGGTGAAAGAAGGGTGCCACTCACAGATTGAGTTGGCATGTAGTTCCGTAAGTTTCACTGGTGCGCGTGTGTGTGTCGAGAGCGGAGAAGTGCATAGGCGGGGGAGCAAGCGAGAAGTGAGAGTGAGAGGAACATTTATCGACACGTACAGTACAGACGTGTACGCACAGGTCGATTGTTGGCGTTGTTGTCACGACGCTTAGGTTTCAGTGACAACTGAGATGAATGACTGCCTACCGATAAGCAATGTTGTGAGCTTGTCAATTCGATCGCTCTGACGTGCACCTCTAGTGAGATATGGCGTGTGTCTTTTTTCCTCCTTCATACAGTGCATTGAACAAGGAAAGAGATCGCTCAAGTATAAGCCAGGGACGATGCCTCGCCTGACCTACGCCTGTCACACTTCTGACTTGAAAGTCGTGTGATCTGTCTGCCTGTCTATCTGTCTGTCTGTCTGTCTGTCTGTCTGTGAAGTGTGACATGCCATGTGGTTTTGTGGTGACGTGTGCGCATGCGTGGCGAACAGGATGAGACGGACCCAGACTGATTTCATTGTCATACAGTCTGATGTCTTCCACACGACGATGCGTCAAACAATTCAGAAACAGGAAGCCAAAACACTCTCTTGAGACACTCACAGACGCCCACGTACTGACTGACCTGCTACTTATCGTTTCCCTTGTCTGCCTCTCTCTGCCTCGATCGCATACTCGAGACTGGCCCGTAATTTTCCGAGAAAAACGGATGCCAATTGATCTCCTCCAGCCAGTGATGCCACCTGAGCACCACCAGAAAAGGAGGAGCTGTCCAGGGTCACGTGTCTGATGCTTGCTTACGCTCCATCCCGCGCCGCCTTGGCGATCTCTTTGAAGATCGTGTCCCTCTTGAAAGCTTCGATTGCAGGCTGGTGTCCACACACAGACAGAAATAGGAAACACGTGTCACGAATGATGTCCACGGGAGACTGTCGTGGCGATACCTCCAGATTTTCCCATTGAACTGGTTCCGACGTGCCTTCGCCTACAAGCCGACGATTATAACCTTCGTAGAATGCCTGCAGTGCACCCGCAGGTTTGAAACTGAAAGTGGGGGTGCTTTGCTGGATGCAAGTACCCTTTCGAGGAACAGGCCCTCTCCGGGCGCCAGGTGGATGAACATCTTGGTCTTGGTCGACAGACTCAGTCGGATCGAATCACTAGCAGCAGAACCGCGGATTACTTCCAATGCCAAACCTGCCGCACGCGTTCGCCGAACATGTGCGTTTGTGTGATGTGTATGCCTTTCTCCTGCCTGACCGATGAGCTTCCGTATTTGGTTCAACAGGAACGACTGCCCAACAAGGGTCACGCAGAGGAACGACTGACCTTCGATTGTCTCGCGATGGACCTGAGAAGAACACAGCCACGCACCGGCTACCACGTTCTGTTGAAGAACCCGCCTTACCGATATTTTCTCGATATATCGTTTGGTCGACGGGTCGCTTGCCTCTATTCTCGACGTGAAATTGTAAAAGTCGTGCGTCCCCTCGTACTCCTTCATGATCCTCTCGAAACGTGCCTACTAGCGCAGAGAAACAATATTATGTGTCAGTGGGAGAAACAAAACAGTATTTGTCCGTGCCATCGCATACCACGTCCTCGTCCGTCGGCTCGAAGTTCTCCTGGGTGTTGTCTATCCACACGGGGGGCTTGTAGCTATCCTCAGTCTCGTCTTGTGCGTCATCCAGGTCATTCTGTGCGGCAGGGAGGTCACCTGTGCCCTCATATGCTGCCCTGTAGGTCGACTTGACCGTCACCGGCGCCAGCGCGTAGCCAGGAAAGACATACATGTACCGGCGTCTCAAACACTGCACGCGGGCGTCGAAGCCCTTCGTGACCTTGAACAGACCTGACGGAAGACGGTTACGTGGATGGAGCAAACAAACGGAACACTCACTCATCCATGATCCTCTGTCCGTCTGACCTAAAGCCTTCATGTCCGGGGGCAGCTTGTCGTTGAGTCGCTTCAAGAAGAGCTCTTTCCTGACCGCAATCCTGGCCATCTTTGTCTCGTTGGATTCGTTCTGCTCCTCTTCTGGCTCGGCTTGCTCGTCAACCTGCCCGTCGCCTCCGTTCTTTGTTCGCTCGTCACTCACTCCATCGGCCAACTCTGCACACAAGAGAACGGGAACAATGCTTTTGGTCCGTGAGTGTTCCCCGCGTTTCGGTGGGTGATGTCACGTGCTTTCGACCACCCGCAGCCAGCGAGGCTTCCCTCTCCCTCCCCATATTCTCTCTCTTCTCAGTCGACATACAGAAGTGAGAACTGTCAAAAGGAGGCTGGCCTGCCTGCCATTGCCAACAAGTGGTTTTCGACTGACCTTTGTGTTTGCGGTATCTTTCGTCTCTTTCGGCCTTCTCCTCGTCCGTTAGAGGAAGGCGCAACAGCAGACCGACCACTTGGCACGCTGCAGACAAACGGGCAAGAGAATCTATCACACCTGTCATGTGGATGCGTATGGCAGCCTCCCCACCTGCGTGGACGCCCTTGTCAGTGCGACCGACGCGCGTCCACTTGATCTACAGACAGCAAAATTGCCGTGATGTATGTGACGTTAACCGACAGCAACTGTTGCCACTCGCTGTCTTCTTGCCTTCTGCAGGTAGCCGAAGTCGTCATCCGCGATGCCCTCACACCTGACACGCAGATACCAGGGTGGGGCGTGTCTTTAACTTAGGGCGAATCTGTACTCGTGTAGGCACTTCTCCAGGACGCCCTCGATAGTTCGCACCCTTTCTGTGTTGGTCGACGCATCCACCTGCCTACACACAGACATACAATGCGTGTTCGTCATCTAGTCAATCGTCCGTCCTCTGATCCTGCCTCTCACTTTTGCAGGCCGTGATACTCTGAGCATTCACATGGGACACAGAGGAAGAATGCAGTCGTTCAGACGGCAACGAACGAAGGCACTGGCTGCATGGCTGACTGACCGGTGCCCACATAGCCTAGCACGAGGGCCATTGGGAATTTTCGCCATCGCGGCCTTGATGGACCAACCTCGACTTTCTGCCAGGAGGAGTAAGGTACCAACGAATGTGCGTCAACGAACCGGATCTGCTTGTCGCTTCTGCACTACCTGAAACCCTTGCCACTTCTTCTGCCGCTTCGATGGCGGACCGTCCTCCTCCTTTTGTTGTTCCTCCTCCTGGTCTGCCTGAGGCTCATCTCCCCCGCTGTTGGCCTTCCTCTTCATTCGCTCCTCTTGCTTCTTCTGAACAATGAATCTCTCACATCCTCCTTTTGCTTTTCTTTTTCCTTTTACCTTCATCCACCAAGGCGTGCGCTTCGCCCGCGGGTATTTCCCTCTCTTGGCCGCTCGTCGACTCCCCGATGCGACCTGAGGGAGTTCATGGGGATCCGTGCTATTGCAGCTCCCTTCCGCTTTGTCCATCCTCCCTGGCGTCTCTTAAAACGAATCAGAGTTGCTCACAGGTTAAGGTGCTCCCTGAAACCGCTGCCGCTTTGACGGCACGCATGACGCCTAGAAACGGCATCAGTCGAGTCACACGAGTGTGAGTCAAGTAATGAATCAATGATGAGTCACTGTCAATTCATTCAGTGAACCTTTGCTGGAGAGACGGCCGTGATCCTGGCCTGACAGCTGGCCATGGACTGGCCACGAGACGCGGATCATGGGTGGGTTAATTTGCGTTGCGTTTGAATGAACACAAACACTTGTAAGCCCAACGCGCAACATGCACCGAGCTAGAGTCAGAGGTCATCTTATCGGCATTCCAACCGTGGGTGGCGCACGATCACCCTCATATCACGACGTGACAGCCAACCGCACCAGATGCTCCATGAACACCTTCAGCGAAACGTCGTCTGCACACACAGCAAACCAACAGCATTCATAGTTTAGGCTTCCCACCGACTTTGTTTTTTCTCACTGAGGTGTGTACCCGTCTCCCATGCGTGCATACCAGTGATGACAATCGATCCGTCTGTGGGCGTGCTTCCGAATCCAGCTCCAGACAGCGTGTTGTGCGTGGCGGATGGATTCACCTTGGCCAGCAGGAAACGAGCCTGTGTACATGGGAGAGAGAGGCGATCCCAGCAAGCCCATCGGACGACGATTAGCGCTTCTCCTGCCGTGTCACCTGGCTTCCTCCTGCATGTGATTGGATGAACTTGGGCACGGGGAAGCGGTCCTCCAGGATGGCCTTCGCGTCCTCCGATGGCGCCTGCGCAGACGGACCCAAAGGAAAAAACATCTGGCGGCTGCATCGTGTGTCTGGTCGCTCCCTCACCATGAGTAGCTGCCTGAAGTTCTCGTACTCTGGGTTGTCGTGGTAGTTCTGTTCCTTCCACGCGTGAATGGTGTCGCCATGCCATATCACAATCTGATTCACGTACACAGGAGAGGGAGAGATGCCATTCCATGGATGCGATGTGATGTGTTTTTGGCTACATGGAAGAACGAGTCCAGCAGGAGGATGACGTTTGGCTTGAGCGATTGCACGTCGAGCAACACGGGACACGGCGGACCTGAGAGACATCGGCGGGTGCGTATGCATGGGGAAGCATCCTTGCTGCGTGGTGGTTCATCTGGATACCTTCCTCGAACGAGTATTGCAGCAACGCGGGCTGTATCATGACCAGCGAGTTCATCACGCCCTCGCGCAACAGAATGGTGCGATAGTAAGCCGTCTCGTCAGGACTACGCGCGCATACAGGCAGACAGCAGGAAGGACGTATGCCCTTGACAGCCACGTGTCTCTATCACTGACCTTGCATTGAAGGTTTGCAGGAAGTGTGACCTCCGGAGGTGGTACATGAACTGGGGGTAGATGGAGAACTCTGGCGACAGCTGGAACGAATTCGTGTCGTCCTTGCGATAGTCAGCGAAACGGGACACCAGACGAATCAGCATACGGTCAAGCCACCTGACCACAGCAAATAGTCGCAGACGCCCACAGAGAAATCTCTCGTGGGAGGAAGGCAGTTTCCATCTTTGTTTGGCTTTACCGCAGCACGTCTAGGGGCTCCTCGGTCTCCGTCTTGAAAACAGCCAACCTGACGATACCCAAACACGCGCTTGTCCGTGCCGTTTCTGTGACGATGTGTCTTTGGCTACCTCGCCATGAGGACAGCCGCGGCCTCCTGGTCAAATCCGGGGGCTATCTCAAGCACGTTCGGCTCAGCATAACGGTAGCAGGCTAAGTAAAAGGCGCACAAATGCAGATGAATGTCCTTTCCATTCCAAAGTGCTCTCCTGGTGTTTGTTTGCATGTCCGTCTTACTTGTGGTGACTCTCAGTCTCTTTCTGCCCGACGGGTGCTGGTACAGAGTTTGGAACTGAAGGTAGGACTGCTTCCCGCTGGGCATACTCCCCTGAGTCTGATTCACAACCTGTCGACATGTAAATGCATTCAGGACGATGTGCACGGCAATCGACGGCGTGAAGAGATTGATGTGAACGACCAGTCGGTTGGTTTACCTCGAAGTAGAATGCGAGGGACGCGTTCTTGTCGAGCGTGCTGATGGTCCACTCGCACGAATTGCCCTCCCCTACTGTCGTCTCCGCCACCTGCCCGCCCTTCTTGCCAGTAGACGAACACGCACCTATGGCACCGCACACCTGACAGACATGAAGACATTCACGCCATCTTGACACATACATACAGATCTACACTATGTATCAGTGATAACTGACTTTGAAGTCTTTGGAGCAGAGGACTTCTGTCTTGGCGTTGAAGCCCATCTTGATATAGCCAGACGCATCGGGCTCAAACACTTTCCTGCCCGGCACAACAACGAGATATTGCCGCAAAGGTCGTCCTGTCGTGGACCTCCTGTCTTGCCCGGCTGGCATACTTGAGTGAGTCTCTGAATACGTGCATGGAGAAGGAGTCGGACATGACCATGTAGCCGCCGGTCTTGTCGCAGATGACCTTCATCTCGTACAGCCCGACCTGGTCCAGCGACGAACAGAAGATGTCCACTCCATGACCGTTCGCCACCGCACGCTGCGCAATGCTGCAGGCGACATCAAAGACAACAAGTGGTTCGCTGTCTGTGCATCTGTGACTGCGTGCGCACGTTGTGTAGTATTTGACGGCCTTCTTTGAGTATCTCGCGTTTGGGTTCTCCCTCTGCAGGTCGAGGTGAGACCGGATGGCCTCGGAGAGCTGCGGACCCACCACCTGACCCGGGCCAACCGTGCAGGGACCTGTACCAAGGAAGAGTGGGCATGATGTGACAGGACACGATACCCGCCGCATGTCTTATCACATGGAAACATACCTCCGATGAAAAGCATTGCCCGTCCGCTGGACTGGTTGCAGCACGTCTCCAGCAGCCCCACAGCAACGGACAAGGCAGCCCCAGTGCAACGCTGGGCCCTGGTGGATGAACCCGGGCAAGCACAAGACAGCAGAGATCCAACCAACCAATTGCCGCCCGTTGGTGCGCCCCCCTCTCATCTTACCTGTGATCGGTGGCCACCGGCCATGGGTCCTTCTGCAGGTCATCCAAGATGGACGTCACCGTAAACTCGCACTCACTCACAGGCATCAGGAAACGACGCGACGCCGACGCGGCAGCAACACCCCTGAGGCACATACAGACAGGGAACAACGGGCAGCGAGTGAGACGACCGATGAGAAATGACCCCAGACGCATACCTCGGGTCGTTTCGGACTGCGAACCCCAGTTGATAGCTGACTTGCTGTGCCGTTACCTCCTTGTTGCCGCGAAATACATACGACTTGGGGCACTCAGTGAAACCTGATCGACACAAACAGCAGCACGTGCGAGACACCCGCAGTCAGCAGGTCCAAAGTTCCACACCCATCCATCATGGTACCCAGTTCGTGCACGTAGCACATGGTGCCGAATGTGATCAAGCCAACCATGGCCTCCTGGGGCATCAGACTCAGCGACTGAGAAAGAAATGCATACACCAGAGGACTCCTGATACGTGCCTGCGTCATGTGTGGGTGTGGCCATCTGCACCTGCTGCAGTGCATCCTTGAGCTGCTCCAGTTCCTCCTCGATGATGCACGTGTCGACGACAAAGAGGAACACGGGCGTGGAGGTGACGCCTCCCGCATGGTGCGGCAAGATGTACTCGATGTTCTGGTACAGCAACTCTGCCGGCAAATTCTGCAGACACGCCACACAGAGAAGGGACCAACGTGAGTCAGATATGCTCTGTCTGTCTTGTCTTGGGATGGTGTGGAGGTACCTGTTCGGAGATGTGTTCAGCATAGTGTGGCGGGAAGTTGTTTCTGCTGAGGCTGAAGGGGTCCGTCCAGACCTTGGTGCGGAAATCAACCGGGCAGAAGGGGTTGAGGACGCAGCCGCTGCTCCGGCACCTGACGGGCTCGTACTCCACCAGTTGCAGGTTGATACAGTCTTTGAGCGGCGTGTAGATGCAGCCCAGGGGCACCACCACGCGGGTCGCCTCCAGACGGCTCGACGGCCAGATGTTCCACGAGAACCGAATCCCCGTTACGTTCTCTGCTTCCTGCATGGCTCTCTCCCCGACAGCCACTCAGCCGCAGATCTCTTGCTTTGGCTGGGGCTGGAGAACGAGGAATCTAAGGGAAGGGCGAAGCTCGCAATCCAAAAAAGTGATGAAAGCGAATCAACAAAGATGATGAGGGCACACCTCTCTTGTGCCCGTGGTGAGGTAGAGGGATGAAGGTGATCCTCGAGCTGATCCTGCTTTCCGACAGCAAGGACTCGGCAACGGTGAAGGCGTCCAAACTGGCTGCGCATGTCCGCGTGCGGCACAGCTCCATGAAGGTGCTCCATGCCTACGCACATGACTGCTTCAACACCATACAGGAGCACTTCCCGCGACTCAGGGCAGGTATCCACCAGAGCGAACAGGAAGGAGATGTAGCGGGAGGAATGGTTGCGTCACTCACTCATGCTATCTGCCCACACAGGTTGTTTCGATGTTTACATCGAGCGCTCCCCGTCTGGCCGGCACTGCATGTACTGCATCGGTCACCTGCCCTTCGACAGCCCCTCGAGCATCAGGATGAAGTGGCTGCCGCTGCAAATCATCAAGGATCCAAACGCAGACGTCTCGCTCAGGCTATTCCTCTACGAGGTACCCGGTGACAACCTAATGAAGATCCAGACAGCTAGGCGTACACCCGAATGTATTTCACTGTGCAGGTCCAGCTGCTGAACGGCGTGGCGTCTGGGGGCATCCAGCACGGATCACGCGCCCCCCATGCCTCAGAGGCATCCGGCTATCCCGATGCTCCGCTGTCCGTCACGGCCAACCGTCGCAAGCAGCGTTGCAGCACTATCGGTGACTGGCGCCGGAAGATCGAGGCCGTCAAGAGGATGCAGGCCATGCAGGGCGGCAAGATCAACGAGCTCTGCAAAATGGTCGACTGGAGCCAGCCGAGGTGGGGCTTGCACGGGATGGACTGTGTGTATGCAGTGTGCATGCGTATGCAGGATATCCGAGGCGACTCGATATTTGTCGATGGGCGATGAGTTTGTCCAGGACATGGGAATAGACCAGTCAAAGAGGGCAGAGCTCGAGAGCCTTCTGCAGAACGATCAGGTGGGCCCACTTGCACACAAGCATGTCGGTCCAAATCGAAAACACTACTCACACTCTATCTGTCTGTCTGTCCGTCTGTCAGACGTCCATTAAGTCCTTCAAGTGCTGGAAGCACACTGCTTGCTGTGTTACAAAGAGCTTGTTCACATAGGGGCTGCTGTGTTGGTTATTACTGCAGGATGTGTGTGGATTCGATTCTGTCGACCTATAGCAGCTCAGCAGGGAGAGGTACGAGGGATGGCAAGAAGACGGCGGCACCTGTCCCCCCAGCCCCCCCCAACCCTCCTGTGGCGATGCCCCCGCCCATCCCTCACCCACACCGCCCCTCTTCCACGTTCCCCGTCCCCTACCTCCCCATGCCACCGTACTTCGGAGGGCCCCCCGTAAGATAGACTTACGCGCGTGCACGTGTGCGGATGAATATGTAGCCTTGCACGTTACTGCACGTTTGGGGTTGCCGTTGCCGCTTGGGTTACGTGTACGCCCTGCTTTCTACTCGCCACAGCGTTGTTCGGACTCTATGTGGTGATTGTTGCTCCCGTGGCTGATGCGAGGGAGCGCTGCGTTGCTTCCAGCGGTGATGTACAGATGCATGGCACGAGGGGTGTGGGTTCTGTCTCGTTGATGTGCACGACCCTTTCTCGCGATGATTTTTGCGACGGAAATCATTGGACGGCAATCTTCATAAAGCGCGAACATAAAGACCAACCCACATCCCACGCCCTCACCACACACCCACAGACGCACACGTGGCTGCCTTGGTCCTCTTTTGTTGAGGTACCTGTACTCACAAACTCCGTGTGTCGCATTGATTGAGACGGCAGAGTCGGCCGATCGGCCAGGAAACACAAGCATGCACTAGGGATCATATCCTGCACCGAGGATCTCCTGCCGCACACCTGCCAGAATGGCCAGCGAACTTGGCCAGACTGACCCTGGCCAGATTAACGGCTTCCGCTTCTCTTCGTGTCGGTGGACGCACCATATTATGGGAGAGGGAAATTTTGTTCGTAGCTCTTGCCTCTTGCTTATGTGCAGCTGCACATCCCTGCTGTCTGACCTTGCCT